TTGGGGGATGAAAAAAAAAGAGGGGGGGGGGGGGGAGGAAAGAATGTATGGCGGGGGTGGTGGGGGGGGGAGAGAGACAGAGAGGGAGAGGGAAGAGATAAGGACATGGCGGGGGTGTTTTTGGTGGTGGGGGTGAAAAAAAAAGGGTGGGGTGGGGGGGGGGGGGAGAGGGAAGGACGTGTTTTGGTGGTGGAGCAAGAGACAGATAGAGAAGAGGTACGGACATGGCGGTGGTGTTTTTGGTGGTGGAGGTGAGAGAGACCGACAGACAGACAGGTGGTCTTTCTATGTATTGCCTGCTTTTGTTTTCAAATTGCACTACCTTGATGACACTGCTGTGCTCTCTCGAGCCCACCGCGGAGGGATCCCTTGCAGCTCTGGAGTTTATTCAGTACCTCTCGCCCTCTTCCGTGCTTGCGTGCGGTTCTTCCTCTCTCTCGGTGTCGTCGCAGTGTTGTTGAAAGCAAACCGACGAATATCGTCGGCGTTGCTAGTCCCAAGCTGTTTCATTTGTAGCTTTGTCTATTGTTTCAGGGTTGAGAATGGAAACGGGGAACGTACTCGTCGTGTACCTCCTCATGTACGCATTTCGCGAAGAACCCACAGACAGGTGTACCGTTACTTCAGGCAGTGGCGTTTCGATAATCGCGAAGAATGCAAACACTACCGAGCTAAAAAAGAGGTTTGAGAACGGCCTACCTAATAGAACGCACCAGAATGCATGTATTTTGTGTGTTGCAACGGCAACCTGCTCATCACACGCGGTTTTGATACCCGAGTGTGTCTGTTGTGCGGCGGCTGTACTATTTAAACAGCTTTTTTTTTGCAAAACTAAAAGCACCTACCGGGCCGCTCTGCAAAAAAACACTATTAACACTATGGTGCGGCGCAACTAAATACCCCCAACAGGGAACGCGTGTAGCATTTCTTGTTTCCAGGAAATTTATTCTGTGTGGCTGGCCAATCAGATAATAGTTCCGAGTTCCCTGTTCCCTGTTCCCTGTCCAGGAAAAGGGACGTTCGTACACGCCCTCATCCCTAACTAAGAGACAACAGGGATCGTCCGTGTTACTGTTTGCAGAACACAATCGATTGCAGTGCTATCCGTGCAAAGGATTCCGAAGTAAGTACTTTGTCGTTTGTCGATTGCAGTGCTATCACCAGATCACCAGTTCCACCACGATTCGAACCACCAACCGCACGCGCTTCGTTACTTGTGGCGCAAGTAGAACACAGACTTCCGTGTTTTGCCGTCAACACGGCAACATTCGAAGCGTATGCTACTCTGAGACGCAAACAAGGAGCAGACATACAGACAAACGAACCGCCGAAGAAGCATTGCTACAACGACCGACCGTGTTGCTAGTATTTTTACTGGCACCATACAGACGTCTCTTGGTTAACGCTAGGCACAACAAACCTCCCGTCACAGCGGCGAAAATAATGAACGTCTCCGCCATCATCACCAGGTACAAGAAACCTCCCGTTCAACTGCGGCGGCGATAGTAAGAGACGATTCGAACACCAACCCCACGCGCTTCGTCACTTGTGGCGCAAATAGAAGACAGTCTTCCGTGTTGCCCTTGCGTTAATACACGCGGACGGCTCGCGCAAAATTTTCGTCGACATGTCTTGTTCGTGGTCGGAGGCTAAGGGTTGGTCGTTCGCCAGCTACTGGGTATTGAAGAGAAACGCCCGAAGAAATGGCACGGAAGGAAGTGGTAAACATCAGGCAAGCTAGGAGACAGGAGGGGGGGGGGGCGGGCGTACTCTTATGTTTTGCATCCCTTAGCGGTTAGACCATTGACCACGCGTCCTCGAGAGGACGGAGCATTGTTCCCACAGGACCGAAGATAACCGATGGCCAATCGTTCCTTCCTACTTTCCCAAAGGTGGCTCAAAAATGTCTTCCCTAGTCTGTCTATCCTAACGATATCCCTTCCCGCCTTTTCAAACCACTTCCTACTCCCCAGTACAGCTGCAGTACTGTCTTTTTCCTCGCTATTCCATGCCTCAAACATCTCCGTGTACCTTCCTTCTACTCTTCCCAGCTCAGTCATGTACACAGGAGGCGGGGGTCGGGGTAACCAAAAATCGCGAAGCAAAAACGTAAACAAGAGCATAGCAGCCGAGGACGCCAACAAAAGTGCGAAAACGTGCGTCGGCAAGACAGACACCCCCCGAGGGCTCCGACTTCGGGTGCGCCGAGTGTGACGGGTCGACCGAAGACGTCCGCAACGTCATGGGCGCGGGCCAAGAGGCCCACATGTTCTGCTCAGAGTGCAAGTCTGACAAACGCGCGGACCTCCTCGCGGAGGTTCAGGTCCAACTTGAAAAAAACGACGACTAACGATATTAACCACCGCTGCCTGGCAGAGGGTGCACACTGCTACAGTACCAGGGAGGGAACTCAGCCCCCCCAGAGACGCCCCTATAGAGATGCAGCTCGCACGCATGAGTGTGCTGCACGACTTCCGTAGACACAAACATGAACCAACACCCGTGAGCCCGTTATTTCGCGGACCGATCCCGCCCTGCTTGCTACTTGGAGTTATTATTTCTTAGCGAACAGGACCCCTTCTGTCTGTTCAACCGCCCACACAACAGGGCGAAGCATACAACAATGCCTCTTGTCCGCTGTAGTGAGCGGAAGCTGCTGCTGAAAGTCGGGGAGGCGCCATGATTTACGATGCCCTACTGGGTCATGCTTCGGTTGTCGGATGTCGTGCGCTGTAGCTCGAGATGGGCTTTTGAGACCCGGTCGGGCAAGGGGTGTTGGCTATGCTAATGAGAATGCCACAGAAACAAAAAAAAGACTCTCGGTCTGGTCTCGGTCTGGATAGACCCAAGCTAGAGCTAGCTGGGGAATTTCACCTTCGCACGACAATGGTTGTTGTTGGCGTTTGTGGTGGTTGTTCCTGTAGCTGTGGTGTTTTGTCAGTTGTTGCTTGGTGTTTGTTGTGGTTCATTGTTGTTGGTTTGTGGTTGCGGGTTGATGTTGCTGCTGCCGTCGTTGTTTTGGCGGTGTTTTGGCGGCTGTTGTGCTGCCTGGTTTTGTTCGGGTTACTGCTGTACACGCCGCGACCGTGAGCGGTGCGCATGGGCCTTGGGCCTGTTACCCCCTGTGCAGCGTGTCAGCATCCACCTGTTTCTGTAGATCATAACTCGGTCGTTCGGCTCTCTGCTGTATTTGACGTCCCTCCTTTCTCCTTCATCCGCGTGCTCTTTGCTGTCATTGACGTCCTCCGCCGTTGTTGTTGTTGTTCGGGCTTGGACGACTCGGCTCTTCTCGCATGGATTCAGGCGATGCTGTTCGGCCTGTTCACCATGTGCATGGTGTGCGACCAGTGGGAAGTCGTGTCCACCAACCAGACGCAGATCGACCGCCTTAAGGGAGAGACGCACTCGCAGCCGTCTCTAGAGATAAAGTGAGTCGGTCGGGTGCACGTAGAGTTTGTCGACGCCTGGGCGTTTCGTGTCAGTGCTGCTGTCGTCGAAATAGGTGTCAAGAGAGAGAGTTCGGTGCAGCGAAGAGGTTGAGCGTTTCTTGTAAGTGCTGCTGTTACTGTTGCTGCTGCTGCCGTTCTAGCAGTAGATATCAAGAGGATTGATTTCGTACCCCTCTGCTGGTTGAATCTCCCACCCACCCACCCCCGACGCTTAAGGTGTGGTGTAGGCTGACAACTTCCCGTTCGACCTCTGTATCTAAGTGTGGTGTGTCCCTGCAGAAGGCTCTTACGGTCGCGTGCCAAGAGGCATTAGCGCCGAGGCAAGAGAATCAAAGGCGGACCCGTAGACCACATAGATAGCAGTGGTTTGCCAGCCTCAGGAGCCACAGCAACATGCCACCAATGCGGTTTTTTTTTAGTCTTTTTTTAGTTTCATCATCCCTCCGGTCGCGTTTCCTTCCACCGTGCGTGCATCTAATCAATTGCGCGTGCATTCATTCAATTATTGTGGTTGTGATGGTGATGGTGGCGGCGGCGGCGGCGGCGGCGGCGGTGGTGGTGGTGGTGGTACGCAGCGAGCTCTTCGGGGGCTCGTCGCGGAACGGCGGGCGGTTTCGCCTCGACTTCTTCCTGCCGACAAGAGTCTCCTTCCCGGCGGACATCTGGGAGGAGGTCATGGGCTACCGCTGCCAGGACGCGTGCGGGCTGGCTGCGGCGGCGGTGGCGAAGGTGTCTGGGGGAGCGCTGGGGGGGGCGGCGGCGGCGGGGGGGCGGCGGGGGGGAGGGTCTGGGTCGGACGATGATGACTTGGACTCGAACGGCGACGTCGAGATGGGCGAGTTCTATTCAGGTGCATTTTTTTTTTGTTCCGTGTGTTGGTGGTGGCGGTGTTGAGGTGCATTTTGTGTGTGTCATTTTGGTGTTGGTGTTGGTGCTGGTATTTTGGGTGCATTTTTTATTCGTGTCACTGGTGGTATTGGTAGTGTTAGGGGGGGGGGGGGGGGGTGTTGTAATGCCGGGCGATTGCGTTCATCTCGCACCACGGCATTGGCGGGATGGTGTTAGTTGCTCGGAAGTGCCACCAACAGCAGTAGCAGTACAATCGTGCTCCTCTGACTGTTCCTTGACATGTTGTTAGGTCGCATAAGATGCCACCGCCCCCCCTGGACCGATTTTCAAAGCTCGATCGATTGCTGCAGCAGTAACCTGCAGCAGTAACGGTGCCAAAATGGCGGCGTTGGAACCGTCTCATCGAAAGCTTTAGC